TAAAGAAAGTATATTTATGGATCTATTTAGATTATCAAAAACCTAGCTTTTTATTCAAAAGAGATTGTAAACAAGTAACAAAAAGTAATGGTGACTTTTGAAAACAAACTTTAAATTATTTTAAAAAAAATATAAAGACTTTATTAGTCAAGAAGTATTAAATCTTTTTATAAACATTTTTTGGATATTATCAAAGAATTAATAGAAAGAATTTATTAAAATAAGTTATTATTTTTTTTTAAACCCTCTGTCAGGTTAGGTATGTATACTTTATTAAACATATGTATAATTAAAATAAGTTATTATAAAGATTTATTGCAATAAAAAGATTTATATTTATTTTTTTTAACTATTTATATTATATTTTTAAAAAAAATATATTTTCATAGTTTTTTAAAAATTTTATCTTTTCTAATTTAATTTTAAATTTTTGAATAATATAATAATTATTAAAAGTAATTAATTAATATAAAATAAATTGATTTTAAAATATAATTATATTTCTATTTGTTATATATATATATTTTGATAATATTATTAATAATAGAAAAGAAAAAATTTTTTTAAAAAAAAACTCTTTTTGCTAATTCTCTAACCATATACAAAAAAGATGTTCACAAAAAGATTTTATTCTTCTTGACTAATAAAGTCTTCTTATTTTCCTTAAAACAACTTGAGGCTTGTCTTCAAAAGTCACTATTATTCTCCCTTACTTGTTTACAAACTCTTTTGAATAAAAACTTGAATCTCTGGTAGCCTAAATAGACTCCAACATATACTTTCTTTACTAAAGGCAAAAAGGTTTTAGGAAGTAAAAGGACCAATTTGTAAAGTGTCTCCTTTTAAAGCTGGATATGACATGAAGATAAAGGTTTTCTGAATAGAAGAAGATTTATTATTTACCTTTTCATATATTGTCTCTTGCTCTCTTAGAGTGTCTATTGTTTTTTCATGATTTTTTTGAGGAATTTTATCTACTCCAGCTTGATCTTGAATTTTTGGTAGTACAACATCATCTGGCTTTTAATTGACTGACATAAAACACATTGATAGCAAGATATAAACAAGGTTTCATAAGCTATATTTACATGTTCTAATAATGTCATTGGTGAAATGAAAAAGAATTAATTGATGCACAATCCTCCATTCCTCCAAATGAAGTGTAACTGAAGCAAAAAGACCATAAGATCATTAGAATAGATATTAAATTTCCTAGGTGATAAAAAGTTGATTATTTGTTCAAACTGAAGTTTTCAACTTCCTATTATTCCGATTAGGTAAAGTATACAAAGAAGGTTATTTTCTTATCCTAATCAAATAATAAGATTGAAAAGTAGAAGATTGTGAGTTACTATTTTTCTCTAGGATTGAGAATGCATTTTTTCAAATATTGTGTAATAATATTATAATTGATGAGAATCCTTATTGCTCTTCTGATATCCTTATACCATTGTGAGACAAAAAGATTTTTGGGAAATGACTTTTTGAACAATGGAAGATAAATACCAGTAAAATTCTTTCAACTAGATGTGATTGCTAAAAAATATCAGTAATAATATAATATGACCGAAAGGTCATATAAGAATCTGGGTCTATTATAAGCTATTGTTTAATATAGATAGATAAAAAATCAATATCAAAAGAAAGGAAGTGACAAGCAAAAAGCTGGATCTGAGTAGGCATAAGTAAAGATGGGTTCCTAAAAGGGGGGGGGCAGTGATAAAAGTCAAATGTCTCTCACTAAAAAAAAATTTAAATTTTTAAATTAATAACTATAAAAAAACTACATACAATTGTTCTCTATTATCTAAATCATTGATTTATAATATTTTTTGACTTTTGTTTCTATTAAAGTGAAGTGTATAAATTTTGTTTCTCAAAAAGGGATATAAGTAATCTGCAAAATTTTATATATTAAATACTTTAGGGATTCATTATTAGGTATAAGTATTTCAGATAGTTATAAGAAAATATCAAGATTACAAATAAATAAGTTCCTTAGATGATCAGGAAGAAAAAGAATATCCTAGAAGGGTTGACTCCTAATGAGAGGAGATCTTTAGTAGAGGTCCTTTGGAGGATATAAAACAGTTTTATTTTATTTTATATATATATATATATATATATATAATTGTGCACTTTTAAATATATCCCTTCCTTTTAATTTCCCTTTTTCCTATTGTAATTTCAAAAATCAGTTTCTTGAAGAATAATTGGTAGAAACAACTTGTTGACAATGATAGATAAGTTGAAAAAATCTTTATCTAGAACTTATCCTGAAGCAAAATATTGTTCCTAAGATTGCACTTAAAGGCTGAAACTCTTTTGAGAATTAAAAGCCATTGACAAGTGAGTCAGTATGAGATTTAATTTAGCCATGATATATTTGCCCAATGTATCACAAGCAGTTTTATTATTTATAATTAATAAACACACTATGCTGATCTGATCTTGAGTATTAAAAAAAAAAAAGAAAAGAAAAGAAAAAATTTTAAAAAATTCTTTTAATTAAATAAAAAATTTTTTAAAAAATAATTTTAATATTAATATAATATACTGATTTTTATTTCTTACAAAGTTTTTTAAATAATAAAAAAATTTTATTAAACAAAACCAAAAAATTTTTTGCTTTAGTTTTAAATAAAAAAGTTTCTGAAGATAGTTTCTTTATTCTAATCAAATAAATTCTCTTTTAATATATACTGTAAAAAATAAATTTGTATATTAATAGAAAAATAAGTTTTTTAAATATTTTTCAAATAGTTTAAAGCAAAAAGAATATTTCAATTAAGTAGATTCATTTTAAAAGAAGAATATTAATTTTGAATAAGAATCATTTAAAAAAACTGTAAATTGATTTTTTTTTCTTTATTCTTTTTCTCCAATTATTCAATTCAACAATTTGAAATAATAAATAGTATTGATAATGATCCTAATCTATAGATGTTATAGACTAACATTATATCATAAGAAATTAGATATTCTTTTTCGTTGCTCATGCATTTATTTAGAAAAATTTGTTCCGGGGCTTCAGGACCGGCAAATCTGATAATATGACATGTGGCTTAAGAAAATTGCGAAATCCACGTTTTTCGGTCATTAAGGAAAGATATTCGACGGAACTAAATAGTTTGGCGGTACCATTAGCATTTGATGTTGATTTTAATATTTAAAATTCCAAAATTAAATAGTTATTAGTTAATATATAATTGTTATTGGTTTAACTTTCATAATAAATCAGCAGATGATTTTTCTTTTGCGGTACTATATATATAATAATATTTTTTTAAAAAAAAAAACCTTAGTTAAGCAAAAACCTGTTCGTTAAAATGGAATTACTAACTAAAGTTATTGAGGCGTATGATCAGATCATGAGGCATTTCCACACGCACTATCAAGTGTTTGTGCCGTTGGTCAAAACTTAATCGGACAATTTGCTTTTCTAAATCGTATTCAACACATTTCTCGACTCTTTCCGTGTCATAAAATTAGCAAAAATGAAGTTGTGGGACTCTCTTGAATTTGGTGACCAAGGAACAATGGACGAAAGTGGTTTTTTTGATGATTTTTTCAAGTTATCAAAGACACAGCGACTTTACGGTTTCGGAATTTGGTATATTTGATGTTATTACCAACTATGTTCCTTTGTTCCTTAACTCCGTCTTATATTCTTTTGCTACGTAGTTTTGTCGTTGGCTTTGCTATCAGCATACTGGTAAAATTTTGTCATTTCTCGCTGCTAAGTTCTCAATTAATTTTGAAATTAACGCGTAAACTTTGAATTTTGTCCAGTCGACAATTGTGCTGATTCAAGGGGATGTAGTATTATTCGCGGTTTTTTATACCTTGGGTAATATTATATCATTTTTAAGGTATGGTGGAATACAAATTTTATCTTATTGGGGGAAGTCTTTAATTCATCGATATCGTGATATTTCCTATTTTATGAAAAATTTTAGTACTGGATTTCTTGTTGGATTCGGAAAACAAATCAAAACAATGTTTGCTCCTGGTAAAATTTTCACCCTTTGTAATGCAATTCGTTCAATCAACTGGATAAAATAAGTTATTTACAGAATATTCTCAATTGACCTCATTTAGTTCGACGGATTGCTAGCGCTATTGTCATTGTGGTTATTATACTAACATTAATAGTGGCATTTTGGGTGAGTCATTAAATTTCATCAACAAACATTACATTATTTTATTCTATCACAATCACCACTAACGCCCTTTGTAGTTGAAATTAGCAATCCTCTGTCTTATCTTATGTATCATCCAATTTATGGCGTTATTCTGGTATAGGTGGGTCAATTTTTACTAAGTTATAGGTTTGTTTTGCTATTTTGATATCTTCATTCATAAAAAACATTTTTTTTTCCTTTTTAGCGCAAGTTATATACCCTACGGCAGGTAAGATATTTATAGTTATTAGGGTTGTCGTCAATGTTATATTAAATTCACTTTCTATTTTAAATACCAGGACTGTCATCAAAAAAGTATTTGGTAGTTGTATTGACAGTATATAATTTAATCCGAATAATTTACTGGACACTTGGTAAAAATGTATTACATTTTCTGTATAGATGTCCCTTACTAGTAAATATTTTTTTTTGTGTGTGTACCTTATTTTTATGATTTGCCAGAATAATGCTTTGACCATGCATATTGTATTTAATAAAAAATAATCTCCATTGTTTTTAGAAAAAAAATCTCAACCATCTTATTATTTATAAAGTCATAGATTATCATCAGTGAGGTTCTGAATAATTATTATATGTATTTTTTTTTTTTTTCTTATTTTTCGATACACACTCCACCAGCATTAACATTTTATGTGAAAATCTTTATTAAATATGGATCCTGATAATACAAGATAAACGAATTTCAACTATACACACCAAGATACAGACGATTAATATTTAGTCCTCGCACACAAATTTCTAAAGGTCATTGGTGGAAATTTCGCCAACAGTTTCAACGTAAACTTTATGCTTAACCTAATCATTCCAAAATTGATTTCTTATTTCGTCCACACTGGTCGTTAAACCTTGGATATCTTCATTTTCAAATTGATACCCTGCGGCTTTGACTTCTCTGGCTGCAAGTAATAATTTACAAAAAACACTGCGACTATCTTCGTTATTAACAATCGATTCATCCCGCAAAACTGCTTCTTTCTCATCAATCATAACTTCTATGTTTTGTATTAAAGATTTTTCCAAATCTAATTTGATGCGATGAAGATTTTTAACCTGAACTACTATCAAATCCCAATCATCTATATCTACTAATTCTGAATCTTCTTCAAGATAGCATGCTCGTTGAAAATCTTTTTTAAATTGGGACATTGCTTCTTTTCCGGTTACTTCACGACATACGATTTGAATTCTACAAGGATTTGATACAGATTTGAGAGAGAAAATTTCGGTATTTCTACGGGAATCATGAGGTTTCTTTCTTGATTCAACTAGCTGACGGAAATCTGCCAATAAACAATTTACGACCTTTTTTATAGAAGGAGCGCCAATAGATGTTTTCATTAATAAACTAAGATCCTTGATGGTTAATTCTTTCTCATCGTCTAATAATACGATATTTCCACGTATGGGTTCATCATATACCATTCCAGAGAGACAGGATATTAAACGAGTGGTCATGGGATTCTTTGGCAAATTTTTACTGGCACCATAATCATCACAAAATAAACAAAGTTTATAATCCTTGGCCCAAAGAGTGACGTGGTCAGAATATTCGCAATTTAATTTTTGCCGAATACCACCGGATTCTAAATTTACTGTTATTTCTTGTGGTCTTCCGGTGTACGGAATGAATATCCCCTGATAAGATTTGGTTTCACCACTAAGCGTATGATGCGAATCATGTTTTGATGAAGAATTCATTTTGCTATGAAGACACAAGTGAATTCTTGAGATATACAGTATTTATGAAATCATTCTGTTTCACAGGGGCTTCGGACAATTTATACTAATTTCCGTGAATTACTTGCGAAAAATGATAAAAGTGGTTAAAAAAGAATTGATGACTTAATTTTTATAAATAATGCATTTTCAAAAAAATGATAATGTTTTAAGATTCTTGAATTCACTTGTTATAATTTTATTATAGATTTCGACTTATATTTTATTTTTATTTATTAAGTTTTACAAAAATTGCAATCTGTCAATAATTAACTTTTTATTTTATTCTATTAAACTAGATTCTTTAAATAATTACAATTCTTTGTATAAGTTTATATTGTTTGTTTTTTTTTTTAAAAAAAATTTTTTTGTTAGGTTAGTTATATAGTTAAATATTTGTAAACTATCTATAATTTATATATTATTAAACCTAATTCTTTAATTAACTTACTTAGACCTATCTTTAAATATAACTCTTTTTGCTAATTCTTTAATTGTATACAAAAAAAGATATTTGCAAGAAATTTTATACTTTTATATCAATAAAATCTTATTAATTTTCTTAAAACAATCTGAAAAATAATTTCAAGAATTTTTTTTACTTTTTTTATTTTATTTATATATTTTTTCAAATAAAAATTTGACTTCTAATAATCAAGAAAAGTCATAAAATATCTTTTTAACTTATAATAAGAAAATTCTAAAAGAAAAAAAAATTAATAGTAAAATATTAAAAATTTATCACTTGAAGTAAATTTATATATAAAGATCTATTGTAGTAAAAAAATAGATAAACAAAAGTTTAAACTTTAATTCTTTTTTATCTATTATTATTACTTTTTTACAATTACTTATTTTTCAGATTTTCTAAGAAATTTTATTTATTCTAATTTGATCTTAAATTTTGAAATAATATAAAATTAATATAATTTTGCTAAAGATAGATAATTGATTAATAAGAAATACATTAGTAATAAAATATAAACAAACTTTTATTAATTATAATAAGTATTCTGATATTATTAATAATTGAAAGAATTGATTAATATTTATTTTTATTTCTTTCTTGAATTTATAAGACCAATAAAAATTAAGTAACAAGTCCTTAAATAATAAATAAACTACTATTTATTTATACTAAAGTTTTTTTTTCTATTATCTAAATTAGACAAAATTCAAGAATAAAGTTTTTTTATTATTTTAATCAAATACTAAGTTCAACAAATTTTCAAATATACTAAACATTAACTTTTTAAATATAGTTAAGAATATATTTTTTTAAAGTTATAAAAGAATATTATAGTTAACAAAAGTTTTTATTTCTATATTTAAGTTTTTATACCATTGTAAAACAAATGAACTATTGAAAAATTTGATTTTTTGAATAATAAAAAATAGAAATCAATAAAATTTTTTTAATTAATATGGCTATTAAAAAATATTACACTAATATAATATGACTCAACTTCTATTAAATCATATATAAATTGGTATTTATTATAATTTAATTATTTTTATCACAAGAAAATAAAAAATTATTATTTAAAATAAGTTGAAGCTAGATTTATTTTTGATATAAAAACTCTTATATAGTAATAAGTATAATATATAATATCTATATTTATCAAAAATATAGATCAATCTAAAATTTTAAAATAGCAATCTTCATATAATATAAGTATATTTACTATATTAATTTTTTTGACTTATTAAATTTAACACAATATTATAATATTTATTTTTTATCTAATTTATTTAACTCCTTAAAGATATTTTTTAGATTTTTTTTATGAAATAAATATTTTTTATCACATATTTTATCAATTTTCTATTAATTTTTTTTTATAAAAATTTATATAATATTAATATTTTTTAAAAAACTTTTTAATAATAATTAAGAGTATTAAATCAGATTTTTAAGAACCATTTTTTATAAATTTTATTATAAATAATTATAATTTTTATATGAATATTATTTGATAACTTCTTAATATTTCTCAGTAAAATTTAATTTATAGTAAATCTTTGAGAAAAAAAATATTTATATCTTGTATTTTCAATTAACTTCTCAATAATATCTTTTTGAACAAAAAAATTGAGTTTCAATAATATTACTTAATATACAGTTGCTTCCAAAAGTTTGAGTCCACTTACTATGTTTTTATTATAAATTTCAACTTTGACAATTTTT